TGATTTTGGTTTTGTTTTTTTCTGGTAGTGGGGATTGAACCCAGGGCCTCTGCACTGAGCTACATCCTCAGCCTTTTTTCTATTTTTTATTTTTGGGTCTTGCTAAATTTCTAAGTTGCCTAGGCTAGGCTCTAACTTGCGATCCTCCTGCCTCAGTCTCCCAGAGTACTAGGATTACAGAGGCCTTCCCAGTATTAATGCAGGTTTAACCAGAGACCTGCTGGTTAGGACATCCTCATCTGTGCCAAGGGCAGATGCTTCCAGGTACACACTTCTGCCTTCAACCAGCAGGCTACATGTGTATCATACCTCAGTATGCATTTTCCACGGAGGCCAGTCTTGGGGTGACAGCAAATATGACAGGCACCCAGGGTGACTATATTGGGGTTAACAGCGATGGCTCGTGGAGGATGGGAAGTCTTGGGGAAGTCAAGGAGCAGAAGGATTCACAACTTACAACTTTCCTCTCTGGCACTTGAAATGAAGAATGTTAACCACTCACAGTACTGTACACAAACGAAATGGCTGTCATCTCCCACTCGCTTCCATCTGACCTGTCACGCTCTGGCCTCCAGCTCCCTCGTGAAGGAGACAAGGGAGATGTTATGTGAGCTTCTCAAACAGAGATGGCTCACAAAGAGGTTCCCTGACTTGTTCATGATCTCTCGAAAGATCTTCCAGAAAATGTTTCAGTATTTTACCCTTGGACAGCTATGTGGTTGATGATGGAGAAGCTAATTTCATACCTTCTGGCGTGCTTAAATTTTTATTTGTCTTACGATGACTACTCTATCACTGAAAGACGTTCAGTTTTATCAGAAGGAAGGAAAAAGAGTAAGGAGGAATTCAATGTTGTATTTGTGGCTCCAGAATCCCTTTTGGAGCCTGAACTGGATAAAAGATCACCAATGTTATTTTGCTATACTCTAAAAAAAAACCAATTCACAGCATAATACAATTAGCTAACATTTTTGAGGATTTACTTTGAGGCAGGCACAACTCAGAATCACTCAGAGTTATTGATTCACTCAATCCCTACAACCCCTGGAGCTTGGTATCATTTTATAGACGAGGCATAAAACACGAAGACAATCGGGCAGAACTCTGCAGGGTGTTCTCCCGCTCCAGCCGCACAGTTGTGCCTGGCCTGCCTGCCAAGATCTGCTCAGGGTCCTCCCCTCTCCCTCTCAGGAAGATCACAATCTCTCTTTCTCCTCTCTCTTACCACAGAGCACAGAGGCAGAGGAGCGGGCTCTGGAAGCCAGCAGCTACTGACTGCATGCAGGCACTCAGCCCGACGCAGAGTCCCTGGAGTTATCTCTGGACTGATGGCCCACTCTTCATGATCTCTACCTGTCCACCTTTTTCAGCAGCAAGGCTGGAAAATTCAATCTCAACTCCAGGATGAAGTTCATTCTCTAAAACCTGGTCTTGTCGATTCCCCCAAAGCATCCCCCTTCATCGTACAAGTATCACATAAAATATGGGTCTCTGCCTGGTTTCAGAACAGCCAGAAGCAAACAGGCAAAGACACAGACTCACAGCCTCTCAGTCAACTGCAGACTGACTACCTGACTTAGCCATTCTGCAGGTGGTGTGGGAAAAGGCAACATGGGACACACAGATCCCATGGTCCTCATGCGGGCAGAATGTAAGAGATAAGCGGAATCAGGTGCTCTTCACTGTCAAGGGGAAAGCACGTACGCTGCTTCCATGAATGCTTTCAGCAAAAACTTTCAAGGGCACACTCTGAGAATGCAGCCCCCTGGACTGCAAGGCTCTGGGGCAACACAGACAGGAACTAACATGTGTCGGACACCAAGTACAAGCAGGACACTGCCCTAGGCCACTGAGTAAACACTTTCATGCACAGCTCTCCATCAAAGAATAGGAGTCATAAATAAAGGCACAAGGTGAGCAAAGGGAACCTACTAATGCTTGGTACAGAGAGATGCTATGTCTTCAGGGAGGCATGACAGGCTGGGTGCTCAGAGAAAGCCACACACAGCTGGGGCACGTGCCACTGCCCTGAAGGCAGAATGGAACTTTGCAGAGCTGTAGTCCTCAAATCACCTGGGAACACTTTAAAAAACACAGAATTCTGAAATCCATACCAGATCTATTGATTCAAAAGCTCTAGGTAGGCTACTTTTGAATCTGTACTATGTTACTATTATGAAGACAAAACATGCAAAAAAGTAGATAAAAAACTGAACCTCTAGGACCCCATCATTCAGATTCAGTAATCATCAATTCAGGGCCACCTTCTGTATCCTTATCTACTTCTCCTCTCCAGTGTTATGGAATCTGCATCTTTTTTTAAAGCAGAGACTCTGAGGCAGTTAGACCTTGGATATGAAATGGGAACCACTGATCAAGACAAGTGATCAGTGGGGTCAGTGGGGAAAGGCCCAGAGAAACTAGAGTGGTGTTTGGTGTAGAACAGCAAGTCAGCTGGAGGACTTCAAGGGTAGGATGTGTGGTTAGGAGGATGCTGATAAGGGTCAACAGTTGTTTTATTTCCTACGTCTGTCATGTCCCAAGTATGGCCTCAGGCCCACTATTCCAGGTAAGGCTGTATCCCTGGTAGTAAAGTATGGGAACTGTACTCACTCTCACAGAGATGGTGTGGGACAAGAAATGGCAGTTGTTCTTCTGGCCACTGGCAAATGATGAGGTCTTGCCTTGTAGTACGGATGATCTCACACAGCTGACGCTTAGATTCCTAACTAGCTTTTCACTTTTCTTTCCAATTATTTTTCATACATGTTTGCAGTATAAATGATTATACTCAACATGGTGAGTTAGTACAGGTACATAACACATCTTGATTCTTTTTATGTCCCTTTCTCTTCTCTCTTCCTCTCTAACTAGCTTATGAATTACTCTGGGGAATAGGGATTAGAGTTTTAAACTAATTGAACTCAACGTTCATACTTGGTCTTTACCGTGGGCAAGACCAGACCATGCAGCATTAAGAATGAAAGATTAAAGGTTGAAAAGAGAAGAATGAATGGCCCGTCAGAGCATCCGCAAAGCAAGGCGGAGTTGACACAGGCCCAACCTAAACCCAAGGTGTTCAGGGCTAGTGTAACAATGGCAGCCTCAAACTGAAATTCACTGCCAGGCAAAGCAGAGACTCAGTTTGTGATGGGTCCTCTGGTTGGATGGAGGAGGCAAAGAGGAGGCAGGAGTGCTGGAGGCTGGCAGGAAAGTGGGAGGAAAGCTAAGAGGCTTTGTGGGATGAGAGGAAAGAAAAGTACATTGGCCCATCACAGATACAGCCTAAGGTATTCCCCAGTGGGCCATGTGCTGGTATAATCTCTAACTCCCTCCTCCTGAGAAGGTGGGACCCAAGACTTACCCATAACCAATGGAATGAATTTGGCAGAAGTGATGTTATCTCACTGCTATGATTATGTTACATTATATGGCAAAAGCACAAGGACTTTGCAGATATAATTAAAGCTCTGAATCATATGAATTAATCAAAAAGAACACGACCTTGGATGGGCCCGATTAGAGCCCTTGAACACATTCACTATGGGGCAGTAATTCGTATGTCTTGTTGCTCGGCAGCTCTAAGACACTGGTGGTACAGGCCAGCCAGAAAGTGTTAAAGAGCATTTGGCCCTTCCCTGAGGTTAAAGATTTGAAGCAGGGAAGACTGACTTTCTTGCTGGTCTTCACCAAGCCATAGCCATATGAGCTCTAAAGCTATGAGGAAAATAATTCTGTCATCAGTACAAGAACCTATAAAAGGAGTCTAGGCTTCAGATAAGAGCCTGGCACCTCAATCATAGCCTGGTGACCATAAGCACAGGATGTGGGGAGGTGTGCCTATACTCCTGACCCATGGGAACCAGGACAATAAATGGGTTTGTTTAATGTCCTTCAAGTTTGTGATGTTTGTGATGGCTGATGTAGCTATAAGGAAGAAATTCGTGGCCTTCCAAAGTAGAGGGCCATGAGTACAGTCTGAGGAGCATGGGTTTCTTCATCTGGGCTGTAGGAAAGCACTGGCTGGCTGTTCCTCACTCTAGGAAACTCAGAGAATGCAGAGAGAAGGAAGTCTGGGGTGGGGCTGACCAGACCCTCCAAAGAACATTCAGACAGGCCAGGCCACTGTTCCCAGGAACGGATCAGAAAAGTTTAGGTGAGTGACTAAGTTCTGGGTTAAACCAAGCCAGCTACTCTCCCACCCAATTAAAGAAACAAAATAAAGTAAAAACGGAGGGGGCAAAGAACAAGAAAAGAAATTGACAGTCATTGAAAAAACCTTAAGGAACTTTCTTGTCCTTGTTACTAATTATAAATATTTACTCCTCCCAGAATTCCTGACCTCACAGAAGAGTCTGTGTAAATACTTATGCACTTATGCTCCCTTACTGGAAAATGTGTGTGTGTGTGTGTGTGTGTGTGTGTGTGTGTGTGTTCTTTGGAAAGGGACTGGGCAGCAATAAAGGACTGGATGATCTGCAAAATGTCACTTCCTGTTGAATAATGTCTAGTTGCCATTCCCCACCCCAGATCATAAACCCCTAGACCCTAAGAGGCTCCGCCTTCACTGATTCTATCGGCAGGAGACAACTAAACCAAACAAACTGAGGAAGTGGCAAGAGATTGGGAAGGGGAGGAAGTTCATGGCACAGAAGGAAAAAGTCAAGCGAATGCCCTGATGTTCAAGGAAGAGGGTGGGGGGGAGAGAGAAATGAAGGTCACCCCAAGGTCTTCCGGCACCAAGCTTTTAAATGTCATGCTGGAGCTTTAAATCAAAACTGGCACAAACAGTTGGTCAAATCTCCTGAGGCCATTCAAATATTAACATTCACAGTGATAAACAGCCCCCTCACAACAAGTTATCTGTAAGCAAACTGAAACAAACAACTGATCCAAAACTGGTTGCTGGGAGACCAGTTGGGCAGGAGCCAAAGTCAGTGCAAATATCTGGAGAAGTCTTTGTTCCTGAGTTTCAGGAAAGAGAGGAGAGAAGGGTCTACCTGTAGATCACTCCATGCTGGTGGAGGAACATGAGTGCCGAAGTGACCTCTGCAGCATAGAACCGGGAACGAGGCTCATCGAATTTGCGGGAGCGCTGAATCTGGAACATGAGGTCTCCACCATTGACATATTCCATAACAAAAAAGAGGCGATCCTGAAAGAAGAGAAGAAAATACCATCAGGTCATTTCACACCAGCCAGCAAGCTAACAAGGCCCAAGGGGAAGAAAGCTCGGAGGTGGGTGAATGCTCGTAGCACACAATCCAAAAAGAAGACAAAGGAATTGGCACACAAATTAGGGTGTTATGTTAAAATGTCTGCCTTACTTTTGTGGATATCAGCTTAATCTAGTGGAAGAAGCTGGAATCTGACAGAGAGGAGAATCAGGTCTTTGATTTGATCATAACTTTAGCTGTGGCACTGGACACATCTCTAGGTGCTTGGTACTTTCACCTATGTGGCACACTGTTTAATGGTCCTCCACGAGAGTCCTGACTTGTGGCATGTGTGAATGATCACAGGGCAAAAAAAAAAAAAAAAAAAAAAAAAA